GAACACAGAACATATCGTAATGTCGTGATATAAAGAAAAAAAAGAAAGAGAAGGGGAGGAAGGAAGAGAGAGGGGGGGAGAGAGAGAGAGAGAATCGTTCGAAGACGACCGCTTGGACGAAACACGAAATTTCTCGGGAGCTCGCGCCATTCCTTCCGGAATGCAGATTCGCGGAAGGAGCATCCCCGGTCACGTGCGCGATTTCAGCGCGTAACGCGACCTTGTAACACTTCCGCGCGGTGAAGGAATCTACCTGGAAGAAAAGAGAAAGAACGGAGAGAAGGAATAAGGAGAAAAGCGAGAGAGAAGAGAGGAGCCTCCTCGCAATCGCGCGGGGAGAAACTGGTTTCTATTTGCGGGCTTCCGCCCGTTCGACAACCCCGCGTGGTCGATGCACCGGGCGCTCTCGTTCGACGACTTTCTCAGCGAGGCGGAGCAACGTACTCGACATGAGGATTCCACTGTTTAAAAGAGAGAGAAAAACGCTGCCACGCGGTCATTCGAGGAGTCGCGGCAAATTTCAGTCTGTGAGTTCGTTGCTTCGTTTGTTTTTCTTCCCGTTAATTACAGATACGCAAAGTTGTGCGACCGATTAATTACGGCGTCCGATGCCGATGAATCTGCTTGCCAAAAAGTAAATAAATATGTGATGCTCGTACCGTTATAGTATAGACTTCAATATTTATAGGCTCGACATTTGCAATGGCAATGTAACTGATTTCTACTCGAAAATTTGTATCGTAATGACAGAATTTCACATAATCTACTTACGACGTGTATGTAACAGTTTTATGCGTAATTATTAATAAATCCTTTCTCACCTATTTGTACAATATTCGAATAAACCTCGAACCGTAAATTTTCCAGAAGAGAGAAAGAGAGAAAATTCTTTGCGTAGAGATAAGTAGAGATAAGTAAAATCGATGAAAAGCTGATATGCTGTTTCGATACAATCTCGGACAGTCTACGAGCCAAATAATTTTCACTGTCAAAAGTATCATATAAATTAGAAGATTAATACTAGTATTAATACTAAATATATATACATATATGTATAATAAATATATAGTGAAACACTGAAGTAAATGCCATTAAAGGAACAATACAAAGCTAGCGAGGGACATAAAGCGATTGGGAAGAAGGGAAACTTAGGCAAGCGGAAAGTGGTACTGTCCCAATAGGGATCGACGTCCGCAGAAGAGGTAGAGGCAGAAAATCGATGATCGCCGATCGGATTGAAAGGAGCAGCGGCCTGTAACAGGTGCCGCGCTGCTAGATAGCGCAGGAAACGCAAGCCGGTCATTGTCGGTTCCAAGGGCACGCCGCTATAAAAAAAAAACCCTTCTATCGCATCCGAGAACGCGGTGTATAAAAAGAGGGCTCACGGGAAAATGGAGACAGAGAGAGGGAGAGAGAGGAGGGCGAGAGGGAGGATGACCTTGATGGATAGGGTTGTCCAATGAGGATCCCGAAAGAGACGCGTAGATGCGTGAATTGTACAGCACCGCTCGCCGGGCCGTTTACGTGTAAGTCACTTTCCCCACGTGCGTGTGCACGTGCGTGAACGGGCGTGAGCGTGTGCGCCGGTTATACAGGGTGTCCGATTGTCTCAGCCACGACGGGAAGAGCGAAACGGGATTGAGCCAAGCCCGCTCTGTTTTCGTGCTCGATTCTTCGAGAGAAATACTTGTCAACTGTCTCTTTCTTTAGGTGCAGCTGCCAACAAGTGTTTCGTATCGAGAACGTGAAGAAAGCCGTTTTCTGAAAACGACGTTCTTGTCCACGATACTCCTTTTCCCGATGCCCGATGGGGAGTCCGAAATTTAAGAGGAGAAAAGAGGGAAAAGGGTTTGGAAAGTAACCCTTTGACTGAAATCGTCTGAAGGAATTTTGTCGCTTCGGAATTAATATTATTTTATCTGTAATTGATGCATTCGTGGCTGGGTATGTGCGTGTAGAACCTTTCATAAGCAAAACGGGGTCGGGATTTCAAAATAGAGTCGCTCACACATATTTGACAAGTTTCACAGACTCGCTGCAAATACTCTATCCAACATATCACACAAATCTCCAATTATTTCTGTTTTATACAATTGTATGAAAATTATTCACGGTAATACCACTTGGTTGGCATCCTCTCGTACGAAAAGCAATAAAATGTTCAGCACTATCATTAGACAGTCTTTTCATTTACAAGTGATTAGTAGAATTTCAAACTTTGCATAATTATATTAAATTTTAACAAGTTTATCTGTGTTAAGACATATATAGTCGCGCATAATATTCTTCATAAGTTTAACTTTTAACGTCCAACGGCAGTGGAAGTGGGACACCCCGTAGCTAACGCTAACTGCAATCCGAAGCCGGTTTAAAGTTTCCACGCTACCCCGCTCCCTAAATCGAGTTGGCATCGGGGCGTCCCTCCGCGTCCAGCATGCATGCGCCCTTGGGAGTGTACAGCCGGGTGGATTATTAACCACAGGACGCGGGTTGCAGCCGGCGCGGGCGGTTGAATTTCCTCGAGGCGGCGGCCCATTTGCTCGAGAAGAAGCCGCGCCTCTACGCAATTTATATAACTGCGCATAATTAATTTATATGTAATTCCGCTCGTGAAAAACACCGAAGGAACTCGGCGACGAGTCGCGAAGCGATCCTCCGTGAACTCGAGAACGCGCCTTTAATGAGCTCGATGACATCAATTTCTTCGTAATTGCGCGGGACAATAGCAACGGCTCGAGGCGTCTTGTGTAGCTGTACTAAGTCTCGATGCTCATATTCGCCTGAGGCGAATTTCAGGAGGGGACAGTCGTGTCCGGATACTCAAATATTATTTTGTTTGTACCGAGCAAACACGCAACGGCTGGATAGTACATTCCTAGTAAAGGAATCTGAAAAAAATTCCTCCGTGGTATTGGGAGGATCGTATCGAGAGCAAACACGGCGAAAAGCTAAAACGAGATAATGCCACGGTTACTTTCTAACGGTCACTTTTTTTTTAACCGCTCTCTAAGACTATTTTTATGTATCCAGATAAATGTGTAAACTCATATCTTACTTATGGTCATATCTTACTTATATCTTAGACGTTATTTATATCCTACATATCTGTTTATATCTCGTTTATACCTGATTTATATCTTTACGCGTTTATTTTTTTACATGTTTTTATAGTAAATATTTCCAGCGCATTGATCGAGTGAATTCTTTCCTGTCCTTCACTTTTTCAGATTCAGGAAATTGCGATTTGTACACGGTCATTTCCGGCTGTTTCGGGGATCGTTGCCCAATCTCTTTGCAAATTTAGGAGCCTTCACAAAAGAAAAGGGATAAAAAAAAAAGGATATGAACGGTCGTCCGAGAAACTCGTAAAGCCATTTCAGAGTGCATTTGGACATTGACAACACGTAATATTCGCAACAATGAGAAAAAAAGCTGTCGTATGGACATGCCTGTTGTACCTGTATTGTTTCGATCAAGAGACGAGAATGTTTGTCCTATGCAAGCAGTTTCAGAAAAGAGTTACGTGCAGAAAGATAAGGGAAGAATAAACATGTGAAAGTCTTTTTCTTTTGTAAATTACGAAGTATCGTAGTAAAAGGATTGAACAGATATAAATTCCAGGTATATATGTCCAAAGTGCTGTAGAAGACCTTCGTTTTACATCATTATGCCATTATTGATGAAGTTACAGCAAAAATATACGAACAATTTTGTTTTTTAACGTACATGTTTGTAATTATTCATTGCCGATTTGTATAATGAAATCTATATTGCCTGCATATCGAGAAAACAGTATAAGATAGTTTACAAGTACAGCCTCATAGAAAAAAATTAAAAAGATAAAACAATATTTATATGTGATAATATTGTATGTGATAATTTATTATCTGTTCAATATCCCCACAATTGGTCTCAACCGCGAAAAGTTAGAAATTATATCCAGTCAAAAAAAAACATTGAGAAGCAAATAGTATTATTTGCGCAATATATTGTACTATAGTGCTGAACTCTAGGTATTCAAGGATGTTTTTTTAAGTTTTGACGTATTTTATGTATTTTACGGAATGAAAGGCCATACTCGTAAATCTTAGATTCTTCGCGTATACCCTTTTCTGCACTACCCTTTTTTTACCCCTTTTTTTATGGGCATTCTTGCGAAACAAAGGACCTTGAAGAGAAAGTTTTAATTCAAAGACTAAAGAACAATGTTAAAAAAAAGATGTTTCGCTCCAAGGGGAATAAAATAAGCCTTTCCGGATTTGACGAAGATACGCTAATACGATAAATTAAAGTGAACGAAACGGTTAAATTTGCACCGAGTCACGGTAAGTCACAGTAATAACTTGAAAGACAAATCAGAAACGTAAAAACGTTTTGCGAAGGTGATTTCCAAAGTTTTTTCAGTACGTGGAAATCATCCTACCGAACAAATTAATCTATTGTATCAAAAGTAGAAGCGGAAAAATCACATTTGTCCAAAGTTATTTCTGCAAGCCCATCAGGAGATACATATATGTTACAGGGAATTCGTGTGATTCGTTTTTTTTT